AAGTGTTTTTCTCTCCAGGTGGTTTAGCACATTCCCCGTTGTTTCTCTTACGGCCTGAGGTGCCGAAAGCTGAGGACACTAATGCTTGACTGTATCCACATAAATAGGGATCTAGATCTTTGCTATGGTATGTTGACTTTTGTTGTGTTTATTTTTAACTGCCCCACTTAAATTATGCACTAGAATATACGCCACCTGAATTCCTTTTGCCAACTAAGAAAATAAACACTCACACAACATCATCATATTTTATGAATATACAGTATTTCCCTTTTGTTCTTCATGAAGGAGAATCTCAAAGTTTCCAAAGTCCACTGTGCATTGACTCTGGATTGAGCACTATGTCTCTCTTCCACCCAGTTTTCTATTGTCTGTAGTAGACCTAGGGGAGAGTTGGAGTGGGGAGCAGGGCACGGGACTCGGGGAGTGCCTGTGTGTCAAAATCAATGTGAATATAGAATCAAAACAAAACATCAGGGCAGAACTTATCTAAGTATCCTGTAGGAATTACGATGAAGTCCTGGATGGCTCCATTGTTAACATGAAGGACTGTGGGGTGTGTCTTCACCATACTAAGTCCTTGGTTGAATCTTACTTGAACAACTCTTCCTTCAGAAGGACAGTAAGTGATGCCCAGGAACATTTCATGAAATTCCTCAGCAAATCATGAAACCAGATATGGAGATGCGAAATTCCTTTTGTCCTGAGGAAGACTCACCCTGAGCTCACATCCACTGCCAACCTTCCTCTTTTCGTATGTGAGCTCCACCGCAGCATGGCCACTCACAGACGAGTGTATAGGTCTGCACCCAGGAGCAAAACTCGGACCACCAAAGTGGAGAGCAGTGAATTTAACCACTTGGCCTCACCAAGGCTGGTCTGGGAAAATCTTTTATTGTGTAAAGAACAGTGTAAGAGTTTAAATGCGTAATCAATGTCTGGAAAGATGCACAACAACTGGTAACAGTTCCTCAGGGGTGGTAACTAGGTGACCAGGGGCAGTAGAAACAGCGTGACTTACCTTCCACTTGTGAGATGTAGTGATGTGGGAGACACTTCTACAGTATAAACAGGCAAGGTTTACGGGGGCTAAAGTTTATACAATTTGTAGGTATCCTTTAGTAAAAAGAATGCAAAGTATAAATACAAAATTAGACACGAAAGTGAGTAATTATAAAGAAGGGTCTTGTGTAGGTGAGGGGAGCTGGAACTTATCTTCATTAGCTCAGGGTCACTCCACTTCAGGCTGCAAACATGACCTGGAAGCCCTCAGGAAGTTTCCCCAGCTGAAGTAAGAGCTGAGGGAACAAGGACAGCTGAAGGGAGCCCCTCCCATGGGTGTCTCAGAATCCTTGGGCACCTGTGTCTCCAGTGTTTCCCCTCAGAGTCAGTCAGATGGGCCGACTCTATTCAGATTCAGTTGTCCTCTCAGTGAATTAAGACAACTTTGACCATCTCATGAAAGCTACGGCCTTGCCCAACACCTGCCCCCACCTAAAATCCCTCACCCGCATTCCCACACAATTTTCATGCAATTTTCAGGTGGGTATGAGATCCCTGAGACCAGGGGTCTACGGTCCCTGTCTACACTTTCTATCAGAGAGTGAAAAAGGAATTCCTGGGGACAGCAACTCACCAGGTGTCTCCTACCTGGCCCTCCCTCTCAATGACAATCCTATTACCTGTCATTGATGATAACACAGTATTTTAAATCCTCACTCCCCGCCCCATCAGAGGTTGGGCTCCAGTCCTTGCCCACATGGAACCAATGGATGAGAGGAGACACAGAGTGAGCCCCCTGACCTGTGAAGACCAAGAAGAGGAGGGTGGAGATATTTAAAGGCATTCAGTCCCTGCAGTTGCATTTCAAAATATCTGTCTTGATTGGCGGGGTGGTTTGAAATTGTAACCAGGATCTCTTGATTCTTCAGAATCCGCGGTGCCCCGACTGGGTCTGGGTGACCTTCATACTTGTTTTTTAAACTCTGTGCTGAGGAAATTTTCCACACACACAATATTAGAGAGAATGTGAGTGAACCCCCGACCCTTCACTCAGCACTCCATCGATCACGCCCCATCGGGATTCATCCACACCCCAACCATCACACACTGCGTCATTCTGAAGAAAACCCCAGACAGTATATTATTTCATCTGTTGGTAATTTTTTTGAAGAGATCAGTGTTTAACTTCCTTAAAAATGACACGGGGTCGGGGCTGGGGGAGAGTGATGAAACTGACAAACTATTTTCCAATACAATTACGAACGAGGATCCTCTGAGAACTCGAAGTGTCCTGCTTTATACTGAATCTTCAGCATCTCTCAGACACTCAACACAAGAAATCAGCAGCTCAGAGCTGAGGCGCCAAAGACACACATTATTTAATCTCTTTTCTTGTTTTTCGGAGTAGTATTTGTCATCTCTGAATTATAACTGGACATTTCCATTCCCAACCTCACAAAGGGAATCCCAGCTCAGATGAAAACAAAATGTTCCTCTTTGTTAATTTGTACCTGTGAAGCCCGCACACTCCACAAGTGGGTGTGATCAAGGAAAAGCAGGGCTAGGAAACCTAATGGCTAGTCCGCCATCCGCTGGTTAGATCCATGTATAACAGGAATTGCAGACAAAAGATTCAGAGCCAAGAACAGTGTT